CCTTCTGGTGTTCTTGAGGCTATCTGATGTCAAAGTGTTACTAAATCTGCACTAGTGACAGACCCCCCCCTCCCGTGAGAAACAGTATAGCCACACTTCACAAGTTGCTGTTGTTTTCTATGTTTCAGTTGTTCATTTACAGATTCATGATGAGGATTTCGACTCACCTGGGGAGGATCCCTCACCTACTCAATCTTCTCCCGCATGCATTGCTGGTCCCAGCCGAATCCTCGGTAATTCCATATCGTAGTTTTTTATCGTCTATGCTCGGTGGACGATGTATAGGATTCGTTCCCTATGTTTTTGCTGGTGAAATAGCCTCCGGAGATAGGAATCTCACACTCTTCATGAACTTCCTTTTTTGTGTGTGAAAGGATGGGACTCTTGAAACTTTTTTTTACTTCTTTTTTAACAGTGATCATACTTTGTTGACCTCTAACCAAATATCTCCACATGATTAACAATCGGCACACCACAACTGTCAAGCTGAAAAAGGCGACAGAAAGCGGCGGATGAAGCTTCTGGATATCTGACACATAAGGACGTCTCGCTGATCCGGACTTTCGCGGCATAATCTTTATGTTCGCCGCATTAGCCTGGCTCTAACTACGCCCCTGATACAATGGGTAAACAGTGCATGCTGCGTCAGAGCCGTGGCTGTAATTCACGAGCGACGGTATCTGGAGTGCAAGCGGTTCACTCAATACTGAGTAGATTTCCGCAACTCTATCCAGCAGAGTTCCTCGCTTCGCTTGTAAATGAAAATACCAAAGCAAAATACAGCCCGGTTATTTCATTGGAAAAGGTTATGAAAAGGTGAGAAGGTGTGCCGTTGAGCAGTTTGAGTAGCGCTGCTGCGGTCAAAGGGGTGACCAGCTGCGACAAGGCAGGGGGTGCGTTTGTCACTTACGGAAGGTGGCTTGACTTCAACAGCTGAAGATTCTCTGAGATCAGCCAATATTCTGCCGGTATCTAAAAGGCAAGCAGTTGGGTGAAAACCTCGGAAGGCTAAGGAACTTGTCTCTTGCTTAGTTTCGCCAAGAATATCAATAAAACATAACACACATAGTTTGTTTGCTGGAGTCAAGTAGTAAATTGTTCTAATCATCTTCCAGACCAAATTTCTCCACCTCAGCCGCAAATTTCGGAAAGCAGTCAGTCTCAGGATGGCGTTGCGACTTCTTCTCATGGTGGGCAAGACGGATAGCTTATTTAGTATATCCTAACATTTAAGAGTGGCTTATCTCAAGTTTTGTTTCATGCATGCCAAAGTGCACGATACCTTTAAGACTTTCAGCAATTTTGATCTCTTTAAAAATTTCTCCAAATTTGTGAAAAAAATTTCAATCCGTTTTTAGGTCGGATTTCGTCACAACCGCAAGTATCGGAGAGCCCTGATGTGGTGCAGGATTCTACTGCAAGAGAAACCACCTCGAAAGCTAGTCAAGGTCGAAATCATCTCGTTTCGGCTACACCTCAACGTCTACATTTCGAAAATCTTATTTTTTCCATTTTCCAAATTTTTTAAATTTCTGTTGTCTGGTTTTTTGTTTTGAATATCTGAATTTACTCCAAATATTTTTAGCAATGAAGCAAACGAATTTTAGATCAGTTTTCGCCATTGGAGGAGCAGGTATTAGACAGTTTGGATCATATTCGAATGGCCGCTGCAAAAGAAACGATCTCAAATGCCAATCAAGGTGGAATACTTATTCCGTTTATCCCTTATTAAACATTGGGCTACAAACACGTCCTTTTTTGTACCATTTCTGGATGGCAACCACATTCATTCAGCTGCCGTTACATCGACTTCTTCAACAGATGAACACCATAGCACACCGTGAGTATCAGCATCTATTGTTTCTCTGTTTGCCTATTTTCATGAGAATTTTTAAAATCGAAGTTGGAATGCCTAACGGAGATGTGACATGATTCGTGTTCTCAAGTACGCTAACTCTTACATGTTTTTGGAAGTACTTATGTTCAGGAAATCTCCGTAAAATCTCAATCAATTTCGTTGCTTTATTGGCTTCCTCATGTTAACAGCAAGAATACTGTTTCAGCCCCGTTTGGGATCACGGATCATTATGTGTCGAGACGATATAATAGTTGTGAGTGACTCCTGCCAAAGTCAGTACCAGCGTCTTCTCAGTGCTATGCTCAAACCGTCCGATCTACCTTCGGTTAGTTCTGATTTCCGAGTAATCATACTCGCTTTTGTGAAAATCGCCAGTGACGGTAGCTCACGTAGGAACATGCCGCTTTATCCTCCCGATATATACGCAATTATAGAATTTTGGAAATAGCCATTCCTTTCGAATCTTCGAAAAAAACACATCTCACATGTTCCGATGATTTTCTCTCGATATTCGCTACTTGTAATGGCAACAGCGAGGGTTAAGTCATGAAGCACAAGGCCGATTGCATAGCAGTGAACTAAGTCATTTTTTCTAAAGAAGTCAGCTTTACCTTCCAACAAACTACTTTTGAAAAAAAAAACCAATCTTGCTGCAAGTCCTTGCCGGAGGCTATTTTCTTTATTTTTTGAGAAGTGCTTCAAAATTGGAGCACAGAATTCAAATGACTCCTGAAGACGTCAGTTCAAGAAGGCTTGTTGCTACCTAAATTTTTAGTCTTTTTTAGCGTCGGCACGTATTACGAAAATTTTTTATCGTTATTTGCCTGATTGCTAATCTCTATCTTTCCTCATGTCACAAATGAGATTCCAGTTATTACGAAACTCACTGGATCTTGGCAGGGTGAACATTCGGGTAAAACCAAGTGGAAATATTTCAGAATAATCCTAGTGCCGAAACGGAATTGCGAAAAATAACAGAAGAATGGCAAAACCGCATGAAATCAATGTTTGAAAGATATGGAATTCCTGGTTCGGAACCATTCCTAGACATAGCATTCAAGGGACAGAGGAAACTACTAGAACGTGATCAGGTTGGTGCTCAGTACTAATCAAATCCGTTTACTACTGTTCACAAACATGTTGGTCTTTATCGTTCTTGCAGAATAACTATGCCAAGTCATGTGTTCTCTCGAAAAGCACACGGAGAAGTATTTACAAAAACTGCAGAGGCGCAAATCCGTTAGACAGCATCCTCCAGTATCTCGGTTGGTATTTGGTACCTGGAATGCTGGAGCAGTTTCTGGCTTCTTCCTTACAAAACAGTTTCGATGGCAGAGCTACGTTTTACTTCCAGAATTGTCAGCGATACCACCAACGAACCCTTGATAAAGCTGATGAATACGAATGAAAATAAGGTAGTGTAAGCAATAGACCTATTCTTGTTCTATGCTTATTTAACTACATTCAAGATCCCTCTTACGAAGCGTAGCGAGAAGGTTGAAGACGTACTTTCGTGTCTCGATTTACACGAACATTTCCTCACTCTTAAAGGAATCGTCAATCAGCTCAGGATGTTTGAAGACTTTGCGTCTCAGTTGCCTGAGGTATGCTGTTTAACAGTTATGTATTTTAGTCCGATTCCCTTCATCAACTTAACCTGCCTCTATGTTTGCCAAAAGTGCACTCTAAAGCCGTTGCCATTTAATATTGCTGCATATTGCGACAGTGTTCCTCGGCTGTAAAAGAAGAAGATTAGCATGTTAGAAGGGTTGAGTGTCTCTTCTGTCAGCTGTTAGCATCTGTGCGAATCTCAAGCACAAAACTGCGCACTGTGTCGACCAGTATGCATGTTTTGCTCGATGTGCCGGTCCCGAATTCGCAACTGTGTAGGTAGCACTAAAGCTGCCACTTTCTCGGCACTGGTAGGTGAAAATAGACACCAGACAATATTCAGAGCACCTGAATGATTCATATTCAGGTGCTCTGAATACCGGGCAGGGGCGGTATTCAATCCTTCCCCCAGGGGATATATCCCCCTCCTCTGATTCAATCCTCTGGGGGGACACAAAAAGGGTTGCGTCATAGGACCTAGCATACCTCTGTGTTTCTACCTGCCAGACAGTTAGAGCAGCGCTACTACCCTCCACTGATGAAGCACTCTTTCCCCTGAGGGGTCGCGCTGCTCTAACTGTCTGGCAGGTAGAAACACAGAGGTATGCGAGGTCCTATGACGCAACCCTTTTTTGTCCCCCCAGAGGATTGAATCAGAGTAGGGGGATATATCCCCCTGGGGGAAGGATTGAATACCGCCCCAGGATGAACTTTAGATCGAGAAGTGCTCGAAACGGGGGAGATCGTTCTGTATTTGAGTTGTTGATAAGGGTGTGAAGAGGTTGTAGAGGAAGGGACATGGGAAAAGAAGGAAGGCATATAATATGAAATCTCTTTTCCCACTCCCCCTCCCCTTCCCTCGTACTCGACATGGCTCGACATTCGGAGGGTCAGAATTGTTGGTTTTTACCAGAGTGGGTTGTGCCCAAGTCTTCCCTCAGAGGGGAAGGGGGTGGGGCGTAGTGTCCCAGCCGTTTTCCCCATGGGATGTTCACCCAGTTCCTCAAGACAGGTTCCTGGCCCAGTCAAGATTTTGATCCCTAACATCTAAAAGGGATCTTCATGCATAGTGATGGAATCACGGAAAAAGTACTGTACCGTAAGAATTATTCCAAGGTTTCTACCAATCATCGTCCTCCGCCGAGTTTATTAATTTTCTATGTAGCGAAGTATTTCGCTAAAGTTCACCTTCTTTTCAGCGTCCAAGTAGCTTCAATTTCTAATTCGCACATCTGAGAATGAAATGATTCCGTAAAACAATTTAGCGCGAGTACGAGGAGTACATGCTCAAAGCAAAAGAAGCCGTCGAAAAGAGAATTCGTAAAATCTGAATACGTACCTATTCTATTTTATTTCTTGTTACCCTTCACACGTGTAACAGTAATTTCTGCTCGAGAAGCTAACTGTTCTGATCCTTGAATGAAGACCACGCCAGAGATTTGTTTGTACATACTTTCATTGTATTCTGGCCTTTTTAGCAATGTTTATTAATAAAAGAAGAATAATTACTTGCTCATTATGCACTCGGAAATTAAGCAAAAGATGCCTTCGGCATGTTTGAAGGTTGGAAATTGTCGTAGTACTGTTTTGTCGCTTCGGTCATCAAATCTTCCGTACATTCTGGTTCTTGACCGATAACACGAGCTGAAAGGGCTATTTTCAAGGTCAAATTTGAACGTTTCTGAGACCATATTCCACAATTTCGGTGTCCATGGTCCGGTATCCTATCCTTCCGCCAGGGGACGCGTCCCCGGAGACAGGGTTGCGTCATGGGACCAGCCTACTCGGCATTTCTAGATACCGGACTGCGCAACCTTCAGAGGAAAAGGCCTCAACAGTGGAAGGTAACTACAACATCACGCGTTCAATGATGGGTCCTGTGACACAGCTCTGTCTCTCCCAGCCTTAAAGGAAGTGGTCACGATAATTCTCATAGGGCGATAAGGAAAGCTGTGTACTGGAGTGGATAGGGGTCCTGCCCAATGTTAGAACACGTGAAGTTTCAGTGGCAGTGGCGCCTTATCAACGGAGTGATAAGGCGCCGAAATCCACTTCCGTTCAGCAAAAACCAAGACTTATCGATGTGGAAAGGGGTGCGATAAGAGCGTGCTAGATATGATACCGTTATCGTTATCGTCCCGTTTTCATTCTGGAGTCAAGCAGCCGCACCTTCTTATCTCATCGTATCATATCTTCCATGGGCTTACACTCGTCCAACAATTACTGCCTCACACCTTATCGATTGATAACGCGAGGGTAGCAAATCCAGCGTGGAAGCCAGCGTGATCGCTTCCTTTAAGATGAATCGGCGGCGGAAGACGTGTCCTCCTGGGGGAGTGATATGATACAGAACTATGCCAAAACTTATCAAAGACAGACGAACAAGTCATCTCAGGATTACTTAGGCCATAATAAATAGTAGTGAAGGGGTGTGCCATGAATTCGGCGTTCAACAAAAGCGGCAAAGAATTTTGGAAGAAGATGGCAGCTCCAAACATCTGTTGTATGATTCCTTATACATACATCTATTTAAGGTTAAATATTGACTCTTCACTCAGCTTGTATCGGAAATACCTGTGCGAGAGATTATAGCTATTCCTCATCCAAACAGAAATGGACCATCACTAAAGCTCGCACCTGGATTCCCAGCTATCGTGCTGTACGGTGGGAAGACTGAGTCAGCGGCAACTACACTTCCTGGGAGGACTCGGCAGCACTCTTTCAATACAGCACTGCCACCTATCACTGATCCAGCGCCAATGTGCACAAATGAGCATATTTGCGCTGCGCTAATCACACAGTCCTGAAATATACTGAAAAAATGATTGGCACAATTGATCACTGCCACACAGATTGCTTTCACAAGGATATGTGGCATGTCGCGACATCGCTCATTTTGGTGGCGCCAAACTACGGAAACGGACTGGAGCGTGGGAGTCGATGATAATGCAAAAGTCAAATGAAACACACAGGAATAAAGGTGGAGAAGAGTACAGTGGTGTGGCTTGAACCAGTTGCGCACATGAGGCACACCTGCATGTGTGCGATATCACCTAGCACCTCTTCCTCCACCTTGTTTACAAGGAAACCTTTTGCCTGCACGATTCCCTCGTAGTGGTTGCCCACTCATGTAATTAAAACGGAGCAACCGACGCTATTACCTCTTCGATCATGACGTGATCTCCGATGTGAACTGGGAACAGTGTGACTCCTTTGCTGAACTTCTTCGAGCTTGGCCTTATCAGCGTTCCTTTTCGAATAATACAGAAGCGTCCACTCCTAATAGCGGCCAGATCACCTCGAATTATGACATCTTTTTGAACAATGTTCTAAAACAGAGAAACTTAGCGAATAAATGAATCTAAAAATGCTTCGAGTAATCAAAATAGCATGCGTCAGAATAAGTTCACTAATCCTAAGAAAGAGCTCTGAGAATTACGGATAGAAATGAATCACCATGAAAGCACCAATGGGCAAGCCTAGAATCTTCCTGGCGATTTGAATGATTTCAAGCAAGTCAAAGTGAAAGTACGACTGTTTCCAGCGTAATTAAATTGTGCCCCACTTTGAATTGCCGCTAGCTTCCAGAAGCAGCGTCGATACAGAACGAAAGGATAAAAAGAGTAAGCATTCGCCGTCGATCAACCCCTCTGGAACATGCTTCTACTTCCATCTGTACATTCGTGGTGACACTTGAATGCGATTTGGCCGATACAATGACTTGCGATGGCCAAAATTCGTGCAAGTCATTGTCTTTATCCTCCCGCTGCCCTGGTATCAATTAACCAGCCCTGAGGACGAAGTCTTGGTTGCCGTCGATTTACGCACGAACCCGCATTCGCATCCCCAAACCGTGCAAACGCTAAGCAAGAGCAATAGCCTAACTTATACCACTCACGGGCCTCAGATGAAACATGCAATTACAAAAATATTTCAAATACTTAGCTTTGGTCAACTGACCTTCCCATTCAGGACTATGTTTTGCGTCCCACAGATAGTGCTGTCTTTAGTGGAGTGAACCTTACATATTTTATTGCCAGAATTTGTCTCTACATATTCCTCCTTCAAATAATTTACTATAGGAAGATCCATACGAATTCCTGGAAATGTTCTTTGATGGAAATTTCTTCATCGGAATTTTCCAAATAATTGATATAGCATATGTTATTCATTCACACCGTAATGTATACTTCAAAATCATAGGCTGGGATTTATAAAGAATTTATTCCAACTTTCTAAGACTATACAAGTGAATTGGAGATTGCATGACGTGAGTCATCCAGTTGAAGGCATTGTTTGTGTAAATCAGCACATATTTCAGAGACAGATGACATTTCTTCGCCTCTAGCAATGCCTCAACAATGCTATGCAATGACCACAGGTTTCAATTGTAATTAACAACAAACAACAAAGGCGAATGTCAAAGCAGCATAAACGGAATCACTCTATAAAGCACAAAAGGAATACAATGACTCAAAGGAAAATAAGTTAATGAAACTCATGCAAAAATAAAATTCGTGACGAAGATAATCGTTCATATAAACCAAATAGCCAGTTTGATCAACAGCATGATTAAGTGAGCGCTCCAAAAACGGGATTGTGCCGACAAATTGAAGGGCCCTTCTCCATGTACTCTTCTTTCGTATGCGAAACTTTGTAGAACTCAGGCTGAAAAGCAGTCATAAAACAGTCGAAGTGGGGAACGCCGAGCAGGGATTCAAAGAAGAAGTAAAAACTAGTGGGAAACCTAATAGCTGTGGAATCTAAAGCCCATTAAAACAGAAAATATCACTGGAGCATGCTGTGAAACAATAACATACCGTGGAAGCCAACATTGAACCTCCGAACCACACGGCGTATCGTTGCATTTTGTGTGATATTACTTGAACATCGATTGGTTTCGGCTGGAATAAATGGATATTTTTACTATTAGAAGTCTACAGCTCGGCGTTATAAATATGTTTGAAAACTCGCCTTAAGGTGCCCGCCGCTCAGAGCTTCACTGATCGCAAGCCTGTTCTCACTGATTCGCTTGATATCTCGCTGTAGTTTACGAGCGAAGTCCTTAAGTATGGTGTGCTTGAGCTGAGAGGTGAAACAGTAGGGAATCACTTGAAAAAAGTAAGAGTAACCATTCTCGGATAAATAATAAAGGGGTCAAAACTAGCTTGTATGGTTGTGAGGCAGAAAGGAAGCGGTGCAGCTCAAACCACAAACGCCCACGCCAACTACGCGCACCGTCACTGATTCCACTAACGCTGAACACAGCAGCCCCAAAAACCATCAGTGCCCCTGTCTTGGATGGAGGTGTAACAGCCAGGGGCACAGCTTACCATGCGCACGGGTAGGAAGGGAAATCCTGGAGCGGATCTTGTCGAAGCCAATCGAACCATCCATCCCTCCGAAGTCAGTTAATTGGTATCAGAGTGTGGAACTATAAAACACTACGGGCGTTTTCGTAGTCCGTCGCCCAATCGTAACGACCGTGACGATCTCCCTTAGAACGACCTTAGATCAGTATCATCATCAGGCCGTTCGACACGTCCGACAATCGCTACGTCTCTAATGCTGCGCGATCGTTACATCGGACGACCGATTGTGAAAACCCCCTAAGGTGTATATCGACAATCCTGCGTAAGTCACTTATAGGCCAAATCGCAATTTAATGCCACCACTTTTTAAAGGAAGTTGAACGCGTGGCGCATCTCAAAAAGAAATCGGTCAATGCCAAATTCTTATCCTTTCTTATGCATCTCATACAGTGCTATCTACGTTAGAGATGGTAGTTTTTCTCATGCAATGCCGCTACTTATGAAATTATTTCTGCCTGGATTACCTTGAACATAGTT